TAAACTTGACTAATTGGGTTTGTTTGTCCGGCGTAATAAATAGAATGGCCGTGACACTTCAGACTCAGCCTTGTTTAATTCTGTATAGCAACAATAATTTGCAAGGTGTTTTCATTGTAGTGTGATGTTATAGCTTGCAATATTTTATCCAGTTTACAACATAACCGTAAATGCAATATTGTTTTGATGCTATGGTGAAATAAAATAAAAAGGAGACTGAACAAGGCTGAAAGTGGTGGACTATAAAAGGTAGTTCCCAAGTAATATCAACTGTTTTGCAATAAAATATCTGCAGACATATTTTGTGAAAGAAATAGTGAAGTAAGAATCAACAGGATGTCAGTGTTATTGGTTAATTTGGCAGAAAGACAAAATAGCTTGGAAAAAAAAATTTCCTAAAAGATAACTAAAGTCAAGACAAAAGAATGCAAAACACATTTATTTACAGATTATTTAATGATAATGTAGCAGTTATGTGTAGATCTTTTGCGCAGTGAAAATCTAATCTAATAGTCACTCACTGTTGTACCACAATTGACAAATCCAGACCAAAGTAATTCCCGAAGAGCTGTCTGGATCTAACTTGACTCATCAGCTGGTTTCACTTCATGGAAACCGTCTGACCTCGCAGCATTAGGATTCGTTCACTCGATGTAGGCGGGTACTTTTTTTATTTAACCTATCGCTGCTATTTGGTCGTGACATATGTAATGTGCCAAATTCCATAGGAAGAAGGGCAATAAGGTCTTTCCCCTTGATAAAATTCACCAAACATTCTCTCTTTTTATGGCAGTTCCAGCAGGGTAGTCGCAGGGTCTTAAAAGTCTTAAAAAGGTCTTAAATATCATGTTCCTAAATTAAAGCCTTAAAAACTCTTATTTTTTTCAAGTCTTATTTTTTTCTCAAAGGTCTTAAATTTCATTAGCCTATATTTTTGTATACTCAACAGTGCTGCAGTGCAATGTTAAACGGAGGGAGGAAAAAACAACAACGTGAATGAACATCTAATTTGGAGTATGTGCAAATAATACTTTGGTTTCTGGCACCAGAGGCAATGAGTAAACAATCAGAAGAGCGGAGGAAGACGTTGGATGGATCATGGGGAAATGTAGGTTTAATCCACAGTGGCTCTTAGAGTCTAGTAGTTGTTTGGTCATTATTAGAACTGGATCTGGTGTTTTTCGCCCGTATAATTGGTGCGATGTTGGTCTTAGTTTTCATTTAACTGGTCTTAAAAAGGTCTTAAAAAATTTGTAATTTTGGGGTACTCAAACCTGGGGTTACCCCGATCTCGATCGCTTTGTTTACTGCTGTTCTGTACCACAAAAGGATCCCAGACAGGTGCGTGAGTTTTAGGTCATGGCTTCACAGCTCTTTACTGATTGGCGGGTGCACGGCCTAAATCTTCCTGGATTCTTTCAAACCGTTATTGTATTCAAATTCCTGACCTAGTCGTTGGAAAGAAATTAAATTGAGCAGACGCACTAGGTGGCACCAGCCTGGCTAGATCTGGATCACCCCTCAAAAGAAATCAAAATTGTGACAGCACACAGGTTTTTCCTTGCACTTGTCATATTCCATTGTTAACTTAGACTAGAGATTGTGCTGTATCCCTTCACACACTTCACAATGGACTTTCTCAATTTTCTGTTTGTCCCTAAAAGTTCTTTTCTGGTTTGTGATTGAAACTCAGGCATCAATCACAGTCTGTTGTGTAAAAGCCCTGAATTTAGCCCAAAGAAAAGTGCTTATGTTTGTGTAGGTCAGCTCTATAGTCGTGGTCAATGCATGCAGACTGGAGTGACCTTCTCGCCTGACCATCACACAGTTTAGAATCATTGACATTCTGCCGAGGGTTTATTGATAGCATCACAAGAGGTGCTAAGTCCGCTTTTGACTCTTTAAGCCTCAAACTTTGACTAGAATTCATGTAATGTAATTATTAGTCATTTTAGACAACACTGTTTGGTAATATACTACAGTACATGTGCTTTGTTGAAGCACAGATCTATGTCATATAATGGTAATTGGATGAAGCATAAACCTGTTTAACCCACCTCTTATAATGAGTTAGAGGCAGGCAGAACTAAACAAAACCATTTTAGTGTCAATGACATTCGCTAAATAGGCCTAAACAACCACTAATAATTATCATTACAGCAAAACTGGACTATGGGTGTGGCACTGGCAATGCAAAAATTAAACTAGCTTTTCTATAGACACTTTCTTGTACATGCGCATTTCACCTCATTATATCGTGTTACATAAAGGGCCATATTACTTCCTGTCTTTGCTGCTTGTTAATTGTATGGTGAGAGAAACATGTCTTCAGGCAAACCTTAGAAAAGAAGAGTGTAACAGCAGTGGGAGCTTCTCTGTCAGATATGGATTGGGACATCAAACAAACTCACTGGTCTAGATCATTTTTCAAGGTTACGCACTTCTACAAGTACTGAAATAGTGTGTTATTCCAAAAACCTGATTTATACATTTCTTTTTATTTTATGTAAGCTTTTTGCAGTAAACAATATTTTTACATTGTACTACCAAATCTTACATTCAGTTGGCGCTTGGTTTGGAATACCAATATCCATGTTATTATACCATGTTTCTGACATGAGCTTAAATAACTTATGAGGCTGTAGTGTTTTTATGTGGCCGGCAACTCTCTGAGCAGATGACTACATGCTGCCTCACACACAACTCGCACCATATCGGTCCCTCGCCGCGGCAACAGACAACTGGACTGTAATTATTAAACAGGGGGGCGCAGAGCAGCAAGAGGAGAAGAGGCTGATGGTATAAGGCTTGACTGATAAATACACAAAGACAGAAGGGGGTTGTGGATGGATAATAAGGTAGACAGCCAGAGATAGTTACCCCAGCGCCAGATGGATGGGCAACAAGACAGGTCGACAAATAGCAAGGCGGTGCGAATGACAGCTTGGAAACACCCTAAACTAGACTCCGCGCTCCCAGTGAAAGTGAATTTCCTTGGAACGTGTTCAATTTGTGTCACCTCTCGATGCATGGAGTCGCACAATATGAAAAAGATGTCACCTTGCTTACTCTATTCCTCCTTTTTTCATTAATTTGATTGGCAGACTACATAGAGCGGATGGGAGTCAGGGTTTGTAGTTGCTGTGGCAACGGCCTGCTCTTTGTTAAAGGCTACATTCCTGGCATCTGATGTGTCTGCGCCGCGATCGATAGAAAGCCCAGCCTGCAGGGACTGATGAGTGCACCAGGGCTTTTGCCAGGCTGGGGAGAGCCATGCTGGACCGAGGAGAGGTGGAAGATGTGCCAACAGGCGGAGCGGGACTTAAATCGGCGATAGTGAGGAGGAAGGGATGCGCGAGCTATGGAGATGTGTGCGGTGCAGTGTCTGAGCCAAGAGAGGGGTGAGTGCTGTGGGAAAGACATAGGACCGGGAGGGAGCTATACAAGTCTCTTCTCAGTTATTTTCTGAACAACTCTCCGGTTACTATCAAAGCAGAGTGCATGTCTGTCTTTGTGCTTGTTATGTGCACACCATGGCACTTCTGCTGTGATTGACACAGTTCTAAAAGCTTTAAAATCACCTTTTATCTGAGGCGTTTCTCTCGCTCCTTTATGATAGTGCATTAAAATTTCTCAGTGCTCGCAGATGTGTCTTGCAGTTTGCGCACCTAATTGGCAGAGATAGCCATGAGCTGAATGCAGATACAAGTGGTAATGAGGCAATTATGGGCAGCCTCTCTGTCTACACCGCTATCTGTCAATTCAACAACCTGTGGCTGCAGCGAGGTGCTTCTGTCAAGGTCTGTGCCTCCCCGAGCAGTGGAGAAGCACAGTTTCCCAGCAAACATAATGTTTAACAGTTCAACTGCACATACTGCCTCTCATTACCTCGTCATTATCTGCTCGTCTCATACGATCCCATATTGGCTGAGAACGGCACAGTGGAAAGTGAAATGCAAATTCTGTTGAAAATACATAAAACATAAGGGATTATAGCTTTACCAAATTTTCACCACTCCAACCATCATGCACTTGATGTTATCTTTTGTATTGCCGGGTAAAGTTTTTTTTATAGAGTTGTAGATTTGAAAATAATAAATGAAAAATGTCAGCATAAATAGCAAAATGATTTTCTGGGAGGTGAATTGCTACTTGCTACAAAATGTGGATATTTCTTGGCATTATTGTAATATTAGACAGACGGAGCAGAGAGGGGAATAATACATGATCCACGAACGCAAATAAGGAAACAATGAAGCCAATATGACAGTTGCTAGGATTATGTAAATATTTAATCATCTAATCTTTTCTTAGTGTTCTGTGTTAGGTTTGGAAATTATTGTAAAGCCTAAAATTTAATAAGGATTTAGAAACCTTAGAACACTGACTGCAAAACAATAAGTTATTAGCTTGTTGATGATGTATTGTAAAGGTTGAAGGATAAAGCGTATGTTTAATTAATTCTACAGCTGTGCTTTGATTCCTCATATAGAAGCCAACACATGCCAGTTTCATTCTTTATTTAGTTTGATGACTTGCCACACTCGCTCCCTCCTCCTCCCCCCTTTAAATACATTATATACAGTAGATTCACATCGGCATCTTGCCCCAGCACACTAACGAGGGTCATTTCTCGCCACCAAGCTGCTGCAGTTCCCATCTTTATAAAATTGTCTCCTGTTAGCCTGCAACCTTTTGTACCGCTCAGCTTCTTTTTTTCCTGTTTTCTGTAGCCAATAGTTCTCGTGCAGCCTTGCCCTGCTGTGAGCTTAATTCCATCATATCCACCTTGGCAGAAACAGGGACAGTTAATTAACAGAGAAAAGGCTTGGCAGCTTAACAAGGCATAAAGTGTGAAAGGTGGAAAATGCTAAAAGGCAGGGATCCAAAAGTTGAAGACAGTTCGAAAGTGCATTTCTTCAAAGTTTAACATATTTTTCTTATCTTTGTCTTTCAGGGCTCAATCGTGATGGTGGTCTGTATAGGCGAGATACAGTGCCATGGCAGAGGGAATGATGGGTAAAAAAGACATGTGTCAGCCCGCACCGCGCCACTACCACCTGCTTCTGGGTGGGGCCTTGCTGCTTCTGCTGGTCAGTTCAGGACTGAGCTGCCCCGCTAGGTGCGAGTGCTCTGCCCAAAGCAAGTCGGTCAGCTGTCATCGAAAACGTCTGCCCTCCATCCCCGAAGGCATCCCCATCGAGTCGCGAGTCCTGGATCTCAGTAAAAACAAGCTACGGATCATTACACCGGACAACTTCTCCTCCTTCCTGCAGCTGGAAGACCTGGATCTCAGTGATAATCTCATCAGCGTCGTTGAGCCTGGATCGTTTCGTTCACAACTTGCTTTACGCTCCCTCAACTTTCGCAGCAACTTGATTCAGCTGGTGCCCGCTGGGGTTTTGTCAGGCCTGACCAACCTTACCCGTCTCGACCTCAGCCACAACCGACTGGTGGTTCTCCTGGATCATGCTTTTCAAGATTTGCGCAGGTTGTCTTCTCTAGAAGTAGGGGATAACGAGCTTGTGTTTGTTTCTCAGCGGGCTTTTACTGGACTGCTTGGACTACAAAGTTTGACACTAGAACGTTCTAATTTGACAGTGATCCCTACTGATGCTTTGGCTCACCTGCACAGCCTGGTAGAACTGCGAATGCGCCACCTGAGCATCAGTTTTCTAAAACCATTCTCTTTTAAAAGGCTATCTCGCCTCCGCCACCTGGAGATTGATTACTGGCCCTGGTTGGACACACTGCCACCTCTATCACTGCATGGCCTCAACCTCACCTCATTGTATATTACCAACACTAACCTGTCTGCCTTTCCCGGTGCTGCACTGCGCAGTTTGCCCTACCTCACACATCTGAATCTCTCCTTCTGTCACATCAGGCACATACAGCAGGGGGAGCTAGGGGAGTTGCCGTACCTGCTGGAACTCCGCCTCCAAGGCTCTCAGCTGCTGTCCGTGGAGCCCTTTGCTTTTACAGGCCTCAAGTCTTTGCAGCTCCTGGATGTGTCACACAATCGCCTGGACTCTCTGGAGAGGGAGGTATTTGGCTCTCCAGACAGCCTCCAGAGGCTGTGTCTGGGTGGAAACCCATTAGTGTGCGACTGCAGGTTACTGTGGCTTCTCAACAGCCACAAGCCCCCTTCTCTGCACATCCTGGATGTCCAGCCTGAGTGCAGTGCCCCCGAGCACCTCCAGGGGAAATCTCTTCGAGAACTCAGGGAGCCCCTTGTCTCTAGGTACATGACCTGCACCAAACCAAGGATCGGGCCCAACACAACTCAGCTCCTGATGGCTGATGAGGGCCAGCCCGCCCGGCTCAGCTGCACAGCAGAGGGAGCGCCGAGGCCCTCAGTGGTTTGGATTACCCCTCACAAACGTCACATCACAGCTAAGAGCAGCGGCAGGGTGGAGGTCCAAGCAGACGGTACCCTGGAGATCAAGGCCACAGAGCTGCATGACAGCGGGGTGTACTTATGTATTGCCAGTAACCCTGCTGGCAATGCCAGCCTGTCGGCCTCTTTAGCTGTGAAGAGCCTGGGCATTGGGGACAGATTTCACTATAGCAACAGGAGCTCAAACTATCTGGCAGACTCTAACAACACTTGGGGAAATGGAACAGTATTGTACAACATGACAGTCCCCATAGACATAAAGACTATAATTATTTCCACAGCCATGGGCTGCCTGTCATTCCTAGGTGTGGTTGTCTTCTGTTTCCTTCTCCTTTTTGCCTGGAGCCGAGGAAAAGGACGGCATAAGAACAACTTTGATATTGAGTATGTCCCTCGTAAGTCCAATGGGGCAACTTCAGATGTGGCTGAAACCAGCGGCCCACGTCGGGTCAACATGAAGATGATTTAAACAGAGCGAGGGAGACACATACACAGTGCACACATATCAACGGAAACACATTTTCTATGACTCAGTGGATTTGTGACATACGAAAGTGATGTATCTATAGTGGCTGTTAATATGAGGGTGATCTCGTGCTCAAGTGGACATGTTAATATAAAAGTGATCTATGAAACCGTGGACGTGTTTATATGAAATAATGTTCTCATTCAGTAAATTAAATATAATACTATAACCAACATATCAATATGGGAGTGATATAGTGCTGCACTAGGCATGTGTTTCAGTGGTGATGTAATGAGTAATGATGTGACATCGAGGTGAAGGTTTGAGCCACTGGGAGTGAAGGGGGACATCTTTGGCTGGCAGTAGACCTATCATTGCAAATGTCCAGACTTAATTGTCTTATACCATCTTAGCTACTGTATGAAAGATGTGACTTCTGTTTGTGCGTAAGCGTGTGGGTGCATGTTGCATTCATGTGTTTCATTGTGCATGTGCACGTATTGCCTTTTTTGTCGGTCTGAACAATTTAAATGATTAATAGGGTCCAATACATTCTAACAGGCCGTTGATTTTGCTAAGTTGGTGTAACAACAGTATTGTCACTGTTGAGCTAACCACAATTATAAATGTTTGTATGCAAATCACATTATTGTACTGAAGAAAATGCTGCAGATTTTTTTGAAATCACCCACTTGTAATGATTCCAAAGTTAGATAGGGATTTTTCTAATCTTAAAGTAGACTCACTTGTTATAGTGTGAATTGTGTCAGCTTTGTCTTTACCATAGAGATATGCCTTCCAGCCATTGCATTTTTCCTGAAGAATAACAGTGTTCGGCCCTGTTATTGCTCTCGAAAAGCTCTGAGCTATAGAAACGTCATGTTAAACCCATTTTATCACATTATAAATCAAAGGCAGATTTTCCTGCCACCCAAATCCCTTGATATGATATAAAATGGAGTGTGGCCAGGCACAATGGCAAAGATTTACTGGCCAGGGTCTTCTTTGGGACAAGACAAAGTTGAGTATCACAGATTTATGGGTAGAATTTCCCCTTCTCATTTTTCTTTGACCGCACCAATTCAAGCTTGCGTGTCTGGGATCTTCCCTGGGGCAGTAGGGGGTTCAGGGGTATTTCATAGATGGCAAGTTGAAAGTTATAGTGGATTCTTGTATTGTTAATTTTCTTTGTTCAAAAATGTTTTCAATGTGAAATAAGAAAAAAAAAAAAAAACTACTAAGGGCAATTCTTTGTAACACAGGGATGTGGGTGTTAAATTGTGATCCTGTTGTGATAAAATGTTCAAGGTTGTATAATTGTTTTCATATGACAAATTTATGGGTATATTTTCAAAAGGAAATAAATCGTAACCATACCCCTAAATGTGCAGCTCTTGTAATTTTATTATTCTTCAAATCAACTCACATTTGTCTAGCGTAATACCCACAGAATGTTGCATAAATTAAGATATTGGTTAGTTAATAATAATATTTCACTACAGTTTTGTCCTTGCATACCTGCAGGCTATTTTGACATCTCTGTGTGTGTGGTATCCAGCGGTTTGCCAAGATGTTTGCTTACTAATTGGCTTGCACATTTAGTTATTCACAAGCAAACTGTCAAATGGGGTGAGCACATGTCAGTAAGCCTGTCTCTTGAATTAAAGATCTGAGAAGTATTTTGATCACCACACTAAAAAGTAATATTTGAGATAAGATATGATTTTTAAAAAGAAGTAGTGCAAGGAGAAATTTTAAAATACACTACGGAATTTAAGCAATCTACAACACTAATTAGAAACTTACTAAATTGCTTTGTGAATAACTTAGTGACTCGGAGATGTGCTTTGCTTAGTATTTCTGGTGCAAGGTATTGAGTTAAAGATTTTTTCAAAGTTCAGCAGAAAGCCAAGCCACCTAATTAAAAAAGTTTACATGGGATACATTCTTTGTTGTTGGCTATTTACTTACCTTTCTTTTTCTTCAAAGTAGTTTTTCACGCTGTTAGCTCAATGCGGCTAAACCTCCCACAGCTAGGGTTGTATAGCCTACCGCGGAACATTGGTATGAAATCCTAAAGGGAAATGAAAACCGAAACTGTGAAAACATCAAAACTAGAACACATGAAAAGAAGGGAGAAACAGAAATCCAAATTGGGATGTTTGGAGACACAGCGGTGAGATTGGCGCTAAGTCAGAAATAGCTTGTGTGCTAGCAAAACGCACTTCTCATGATATCTGACACCGGCGGCAAGCGTGTAAGGCAAATCTCGAAACTAAATCAGAATATTGAGTGCTTCGCTAACACATACCATCTCGGTCTTCATCCCTGTTAGATCCGGCTCTATGAAGCAGTTCTAAATTAGCACTGGCGTACTCCGTTGATGCTATCATGCTAATGGAGGAAGGCCCTTTACATGTTGTGGCTCACCTTGCTGCTGTTATGAAGATGAGATCAAAGTCCCTACGGTTAGCTTTTATTATTAGCGTAGCGTGGCAGCTCTCCCTTTTATCATGGGAGTGCCGTAAACAATAGAGGGAAAAATGAATCTATTTACACTCAATTTATTCATATCTCCAACATACGAGAGGATATCCGTTGTTTCATGATGTGGAGGCACTGAAGCAGTAAACACACTCATTTACATTCAAATGGCAAAGATCTCATTGCTCATTGAAGCCCTAACAAAGCTATGTTATTGTTTCATTTACCCTCAACACATTAGACGCATAGATGTGATAGAAACATATGCGCTATACAGACAGAAATTAGCTGAGTTTAAAATTCAATCAAGCTAAACTGAAATTTTACAGATCATAAAATGCCTCTGTGAAGATATGTCAAGGCTGTAAGACTTCATCAAAAGAGTGGGAATCAAAGCTGAGTGAAAAGTGGCATGGCCGTTGCATCCAAATGTAACACAAGGAACGGATCTATGTAGAATCCTCACACGAACTTATCAAGTGAGTTCCTTGAAGTAAGTTGGCAGTTAGAAAATTGGATATTCTATACTTTATGAAGTTTAAGTGATGAGATTGATAGAAGTAATTAATTTAAAGGTACATTGCATAACTTCTGGTTGAGGGTTTATCACCTTCTTGTTTCTATGAATATGTCATTGCTCTGCCTGGACTGTTCCACAGGATGACATTAAAAAGCTCTACCTGACATTTATTCAATTACAGGTGGTTTTATAGCTCAAGAATACCTAGAAAAACATATATTCTGTGTGAGTTAGGGTGGGGTTGCCTCTCCACAGATCTGACCTGTAATTTTTTTTTTGCTTTAATGTCATACTGTCAAACATTCCAAACAAAGCAAAAACATTCCATGGAAAAAAGTAATTGAGGGACTCCCCACCAGAAAAGATATACAGTGCACTAGGGTGACCACCAGCATGACTTTGAAAATTAGGACACTTAGGCCCAAAAGTGATGATTCATCAGCCGGTTTCACTTCATGGAAACCGTCTGATGTCGCAGTATTAGGATTCATAGGCTGGACGGTAGGTGGGTAATTTTTTTATTTAAACAATTGCTGCTATTTGGTCGTGACGTATGTAATGCGCCATTAACGGGGCTAACTGGTTATATTAAGCTTTTCCCAAAACCCATAGGAAGAAGGGCAATAACGTCTTTCCCCTTGATAAAATTCACCAAACATTCTCTTTGTTCCGGCTTTAAATCCTCGATCTCGGGAATCGTTGCCAACACAGAATGTATGGCTGTTCGCTGATTGGCTGGTGCCCGAACTCGCACTTCCAAGGTTTTTGCAGACCGTCTAGTGTATTCCGATTCTTGACCTAGTTGCTGGAGAGAAATGAGATTGAGTGGAGGCACTAGGTGGCACCAGCCTGGCTACAAAAGGATTGAGGAAATGACTATTATGATTTCATCATTATTTATTATATATGATTAGTGTTAAAATTATAATTATTACACTTATTATTATTCATCACTTTCAAGATAAGCGCAGCACTGCTAGTATTCTCCTTATTCTGTGTCTGCGTGTCGGTCTAATGCACCTTTACCTCGGCTACTCTGCCATATTTACTCACATGTCAATACAGCAGAAGGCATAGTATGATGCCAAAAATGTGCAGGCATAACACAGGTCTGGACAGAAGGCTCTAAAACCAGAATGTCCAACTGAAATCTGGATGAATGGTCACCCTAAATGCACCATTAAAGACATATTTTTTGATGAGCTCTACTCATTTTCTCACTTTTACTTTGCGTACCTGTAGTTTTAAACTAAGGTGACTAACTTTAGGCATTATGTCAGACTCTTCTAGTTGTAATTTATGCTTTAGCAAAGAAGAACAATGATCCAAACCCCTTCTGTACTTAAACATAAGTGCATTATCTTTATTAGTTCCTCAGCTCTGACTCATTCCCTTCTTTTGTGTGCTAAGTCTTATTTTTGTACAGCCAGACTCTGTATAGGGCCCGCTACTTCCTCCTTATTGGTTTGGGAACAAGGGTGTAAATTGGATTTGTTAGAGGGCAGGACATGAATTTGGCTGTGACCATGCCCTTGCAGCAGAAGTAATTCTTAGCTTAATACACTTTAGAACAATACTGTACAAACCCATTGACACCAAACTGTCAGCTTGTTCTGAGAGGAATTGTTCAAACGCAAGCAATAATGTAAAAATAGAATTGGCTTCACAACCTTTCAACACTGCAACCTGTATATGTTCAAAGTGTTAAACAGAAAGTTGTTATCTATGAGGTTACACGATATGAAACATTGCAAATCTTTAAAAAAAAAGTATGAAATGTTCTCTTTAGTGTCGTAATAGTGAGATGTGAGAAGAAAAAGGCTGTACTATGGAGGCACTATAGAGGCTTGTCTCGTCCAGGAACATTAAGTCCCTCAGGAGGAAGTGTCTGGGGAGAGGAAAGCCATTGTTTAGCCTGCTTTGAACCTTCCCATGAAAAAACTGATACTGAGTTGTTAGTGAGATATAAATGATGAAAGTGAAATGTGGAGTTGTGTTT